TCTCCTAGAGAGGTGGGTGTTGTTTCTCTGCTTGCATCCTGGCTGTGGCCAGGCACATCTGTCACTGTGGAAATGGCTGACACTCCCTGCTCAGAAGCACCTACAAGTCATTGTGTGCCCGGACCAGCCTGGATAATATTCTGCAGAGCTGTTGTTATGGCAGGTCTAAGCCATGAAGGGACTTTGCATCTGAGTTCTGCTCCCTGCTTCTTTATTGGCCACTTGACAAAACACCTTTTATTCTTTCATCTGGTATCCCAGGCAGGTCCTGGGGGTGAGTAAGTATTGCTTCCCAGTGTTCCCAGCCTCCTTTCCAGTGGGGACAGCGCTGCTCTGCTTGTCCATGGCCAAGCCTAAAGACCAACACACAGGCTTGTGTGGAAAGGGCCTTTCTGAGCCTCCCAGCCCATAATGAGCCTCTAGCCACCATGTGCAGCCCTCACTCAGCCATCTCAGGAGGGCAGACAACATGGGACACATAAGCTGGCCCTGGTCAGCATACAGTGAGCATGCTTTTTACTCCCTTGAACACAAGTCAATATGAGGTGTTTTGTTTTCTCCCAAGAATAGAGCCCCACAAGGTGAGGACCACAGACTGAGGAGTGGCAGGGTGCTTGCTACCCATGGCTTCCTGGGGCAGCAGTGGTTCAAGGCTGCCAGTTTGAAAGGGAAAGGCTTGGTGGCAGGATGGGAACAGATCTAGGGACCATTTGTGGCCCCTCAACCTGTCTTTTCACAGTTTTGGTCAGATAGGGCTAGTGCCTGGTTTTGGATGAAGCCTGGCATCATCAGTATTGGGACAGGAGCTTCGTGGAGGTGTGGTCAGGTAGGCTGCTGGCCAACGAGCACCTAGACCTGAGGATGTGGAGGCAGAGTAGCCACATGTCCAACTGATTCTATCACACCCTGGGGCAATCAGGTGGGCTCATGGCCAGCAAGCGCTTGGACCTGAGGATATGGAATCAGAGCAGCCACATGTCCTACCAGTGCTGTCACTGCATCTGGGGTGTTCATGTGGGCTCATGGCCAGTGAGCACATGGACCTGAGGACACAGAGGCAGAACATCCACATGTCTCACCAGCAGCACTTGTTCTTCTGGGCCACATACTCAGGAAGTTGCAGAGGCAGCCATGAAAACGAGAGGACAGCTTGCTGAACCCAAAAGCCCTGCCCTCATGCAGCCAGGCAGGGTGCAAGGAATGTGAGGAGGGCAAGTGTGGGACAGGAGAGGGAACGAGAAGATCTACAGGAGAAGATGCTAATGAGCTCTGTGGCCTTGGTTACATAATCTCACCTCCCAGAGTCTTGTCTGAAAATGGGAATAAGCAGCCATGCCAGGAGGGCGTTTCTTGAGGTCATAGGGGCATGGCGTAACACTGATGGATGACATTGTGATGGATGAGTGGGAAGGCCAGCAGGACATTCTAGCTCATGCATTGTAGGAACGGATGCCAGCATCCCCGTGCACATCAACAACATCTGCCAGCGGAACTACGTCACTGTGGAGAGTGGGCGCCGGCTCAAGCCCACCAACCTTGGCATCGTCCTGGTGCATGGCTACTACAAGATCGGTCAGCTGGGTCACCTCCCCTCCAGGGCTGGCTGAGTGCCTGGTTCTCCCAACAGGACTCTCCCCATGCACTGTGGGGGTAATGCATGGGCCAGCATGTCCGAGAATCTGGGTGGGGTGAGGGCCTTCCCCAGCTGGCCATCCATCTAAGCATAGAGTCCTCTCCACAGTACTTGCCCAGCTTTGTCCTTTGCAGACTCCAGCAGGAGGGCAAGATTGCCATTAGGGTGGCCATCTGGGACTGTCTGGTGCTGGACCAGCAGCCCAGAGGCACAAGGGGTCTCACTGGAACCATAGGGGCACCTCAGTATTGAGGCACAACCACTCAAGCCCATCCACACCCCACTTCACCTCCAGATGTGGAGCTGGTACTCCCCACCATCCGCAGTGCTGTGGAGAAGCAGCTGAACATGATTGCACAGGGCAGGGCTGACTACCACCAGGTGCTCGAGCACACCCTAGACATCTTTAAGAGGAAGTTCCACTACTTCGTTGACTCCATTGCTGGTGAGTTCTTGGTCCCAGGCCCCTGCCACAGGTTTCAATGCTCTCAGGAACTCTGCCTGTCCAAACGGCCATTTCTGACTATCCTGGTAAAAACTGCCAGGAGCACAGGGCATTATCATTTTCCATCCTTTTTTCATGTGGAAGCTTCTGCACAGTACTTTCCAGAGGTGGGAGGAGGGTTCAGCCTGCTGGTTGTTGTCAGGGTGAGCATGCAGGGGTATCCACAGCACACATGGTTTGGTTAAGCCTGGACACATGCTTCAAACAGGATGCTTTGACCACAAGAAGTGGCCTACTGCCAGGAGCCTGTAGACTTATCACACAGCGATTATGTACCTCCTGCCACAGGGACAGTAATATCACCCCACACAGGGATTTTGTAACCCCACCATGAGGACAGTATAATCTCCCCATGGGAATAGTATATGCCCCCACAGAGGCATGGTATTCTCCCTACCATGAGGACTATGTGTCCATCTATAGGGGCAGTATATTCCCCCTCCTGCAGAGACTGCATCCCACACACGGACAGTGTGTGCACACACACAATGAAACGGGACAGTATATTCCTCCCACCCTCACCCCAATTGAGGATTATGCCTCTCCTTACTCCTGAGGACTGTATCTCCCCCCACCAGGACAATATATCCCCTTGCAGGGAATATATTCCCCACACATAGGGAGTGGATACATTTACCCTCAGACACTGTATACTTCCCTCTAGGGCCTTTGCACACTTGTCCTTGAGGATTGTGCACATTCACCCTAGGATCCAAAGCATGTTCCCAAAGGGCACTGTGTGCATGTACACTCCCTGCCCAGGTGGATGGCTGGAGAGTGGACTCAAGACTGCCTCTTATAGTATGCCAAGTTTCCCAAGCCCTCATCAAAGCAGGGGGAGGCCTGTTCTTCATCTGTGCCCCATGGACCTGAATGCCCAGTGCCTGCTGCAGCCTGGAGGCCCCTTTCCAGGACAGGCCTCATGGGCTCTGTTTGCTTCCAGGCATGGATGAGCTAATGGAGGTGTCCTTCTCACCCCTGGCTGCCACAGGCAAACCCCTCTCTCGCTGTGGAAAGTGTCACCGGTTCATGAAGTACATCCAGGTAGGTGGAGAAGTCAGGAGGTGGGCAAGTCCTGGCCCCTTCAGAGCTCTGCTTCTGCTTTGCTCATCCAGGAACAATGTTCTGGTCACATCATGGAAGCAGTTAGAGGCTTGAATTAGCCTTGCCAGTGAGCACCTCTAGGGATTCCATGCGGATGAACCCTGGAGTCACACTTGCTTGTCTTGATTACAGGCACTAACGATTGCAGGGACCAAAAGCACCCATTTGCAGGCAGGGGCTTAGGTTGATGTCCTTGCAATGGCTCAGCAATATTACAGAGAGGGTCAGAGTAGAGGATGTGGATGGTCCTACCAACGTCCCATCCCACTGCACGCTGCCCACAGGCCAGGCCCAGCCACCTGCACAGCTCAGTGCTCACACTGTCTTCCCACTGCACTCTGCACGCTGCCCACAGGCCAGGCCAAGCTGTGTCCATTTAACCACCCTGCTCTGTACGCTGCCCACAGGCCAGGCCCAGCCACCTACACTGCTCACTTCTCATACTATCTTCCCACACCACTCTGCACACTGCTCACAGGCCAGGTGTGCACTGCTCACATTTTCTGACCATGCCACTCTGCATGCTGTCCACAGGCCAAGCCCAGCCGCCTGCACTGCTCACACTGTGACGACACCTACACCTTGCCCCAGAATGGCAGCATCAAGCTGTACAAAGAACTACGGTGCCCACTGGATGACTTCGAACTGGTCCTGTGGTCATCAGGCTCGCGGGGCAAGAGCTATCCCTTGTGTCCTTACTGCTACAACCGCCCACCCTTCCGGGACATGAAGAAAGGTGGGTGTATCCCACATGACTGGTTCCCTGGGGCACTCGGGCACCCCCCCCCACACACACCCCTACCCCACACACACCTGTGGTCTGCGTGCAGCATAGGCCGAAGTGGAGGGCTGCTGCCACTCCAGTGTCTGGAAGCACCCACCTTTGGCCAGGCTGAGCAGGCGTGCCACAGACTAAAAGCCTGCTGACACAGGACTGCCCTCACGGGCACCCACAGCCACATATTCTCTTAAGAGTGAGCGGTGCACAAGCAATGTGGAAATTGTCCTACTGCCAGAAGCCAGTCAAGGTCCTGCCCAGCAACCTACAGTCAGGACCACCTGGTCTCAGGTGTCAGCACTGCACTTTGCAAGTGGTGAGCCACTGATGCCAGATGTGTGCCTCCATTCCATGAAGTGCCACAGGGTAGAATGGTTGATTCTGGAGCATGGTGGGGTGGCACCATGACACTGCAGAGTGGCAAGGTGATGCTGTAGGCTGGCACATGATGCTACAGGCTGGCAAGGTGGCACTGCAGGCTGGTACAGCCTGAGTCTAGGCCATGGGGAAGACCAATACCCACCCACCAGCAGCTTCCAGAGCAGGGGTCTCTACTTTGAGCTGGTCAGTGAGAGGTACAGAAGCATAGTGGAGGGGGCTTGGGGCTGGGATTTGTCCAGCTAGAGCGCTGCAGGCAAAGAAACTTCCAGACCCTAGGACCTCCCCAGAGCGAGGCTGAGGAGCATTTTCTGCTGGAAAAGAGGGGCTCCAGAGTGCTGAGACTGGAGTTGGGGGCGGCAGAGGGGCCAGGAGAACACTGGGGACCTCCACCCCTGGTTCACGCCACTGTGTGCCACAGAGTGAAGGGTGGTATGGGGACCAGGAAGTATCTGGGGACCCCCCCCACCCCTGGTGGAATGGGAATAGAAGTAAGTTTTTTTGCCCTTACACCCAACAGGCATGGGCTGCAATGAGTGCACACACCCCACTTGCCAGCACTCACTGAGCATGCAGGGTGTTGGGCAGTGTGTGGAGTGCGAGAACGGTGTGCTGGTGCTGGACCCCACCTCTGGCCCCAAGTGGAAGGTGGCCTGCAACAGGTGCAATGTAGTGGCCCGCTGCTTCGAAAATGCCCACCGAGTGCGAGTGGCTGCCGATACCTGTGGGGTCTGCGAGGCTGCCCTGCTGGATGTGGACTTCAACAAGGCAAAGTCCCCACTGCCTGGTGGTGAGACCCAGCACACAGGCTGTGTCTTCTGTGACCCCATCTTCCAGGAGCTGGTGGAGTTGAAGCATGCGGCAGCCTGCCATCCCATGCACCGCTGTGGCCCTGGCCGCAGGCAAGGCCGAGGGCGTGGCCGAGGGCGTCGACCATTTGGGAAGCCCAGCACCCGAAGGCCAAAGGACAAGATGTCCGCCCTCGCGGCCTACTTTGTGTGAAGGCCATTGGGCCCAGCCTTGTTGACAAACACTTTGCCTTGCTTGCTCCCTGGGCACAGAAACTATTAAAGCTGGCTTTGTGCTGGTCAGAGGCTTGTCTTGTCTCAGTTAAGGCCCCTCCTCTCAACCTGCTCTCCTCCCTTTACTTCTCTCCTCACCCTGATCAGACTCTCCAGCATCCAGAGTACAAGTCCTTAAAGCCCTTTGTACTGGTCAGCCAGGTGGACTCATGGGGGACCCCACATAGAGATAGGTCAGATATGGTCAGCAATTCACAACATGTCCAGTATCTCCACTGGTAGGACACCTGATGAGGGGAGAGGCCTTGACCATCATCCCCCCCCCCCCCAGTTGTGTGGCTGTGGAGGAGACCTCTCTGGCCCAGCCTCAGGATGCTCTTTGCCCTCACCATGACCCCAGCTGGCGCTTTTGGCCCTCCAAGTCCCTGTTCTCTGCTCCCAAGTCCCAGCTCTGAGGCTTAGAGTAGGTGCTGTTTGTTGGGGGCCACTTCAGCACACGTTCCCACAGGCCCTCAGAAGTGGACACATGCCAGGGTTTGAAAAGGCTCTACAGTCCTCCTGGTGATCAGTCACCATCTGTGACTGCTGCCCCTATCATGTGCCCCGTTCTGCCCACACCTGCCTGGAATGGCTACTCCACGCACTCACAGGTCACTCTAGGGGGCGAGGAGCACAGACAGCTTCCCACGTGATGCCATGGACCCCTGTGTCCACACCTCTGCCCCTCTGTGCAGACTTGACTAAGTCTACGTGGAGCACCCTGATCTAATGAGAGCTCCCATTATCAAGCACAAACTCTTGCCAGGACACATCAATGCTCCCGTTGCTCCCTGGAACAGTGCCCAGGAAGCTGCTCTGGAAGCAAAGAAAACACACAGCTAGATGGGAAAGTATCACTTGGGATGGTCACCCTACCTGGCTCCCTGAGCAGTTGATCTGTGCCACAGCCAGGCCGCCAGGACAGGACTGCTCTGGGTGGTCCACACACTTCCGGTGGGCAGCTCCCCGCACAGGTCCTCACCCTACCTCCACCCAGCCACCACTGTCACCGGTCACCCAAGTGGACCCAGACCCTGCAGTGAGTACATTCTCCCCAGGACTTGGTTTGGGCAGGACCGAGTGTCATCTTTGCTTCTGTCAACTCTAGGGGGTCCTGCTAGTATCCTTTGCTGTCAGATGGGACTCGACTCTCCTGGGCCTGGCCCAGCATACCATCCCATCCATAGGCAGAGTTAAAACAGCAGCAGCTAACTGGAGCCAAATCTGGCTCTGGCAACTTTATTAACTGTGCCTTCTGGTGCCCCAGGGGCTGGCGCAGTGGCTGTGCAAGAGGTTCAGGGCTTGTGCTCCCCACACCAGGCCTCGATTTCATGGACAGAACCTAGCCTGCTAGCTGGAGTGTGGGCACTGCAGGTGCTTCTGTGTGCTTACTTTAGTGAGTACCCCATGCCTTCTCACGGGGGAGTGGGTACACCTTCCCAAACCTGTGCAGGGCTAGTATGTAATCTACAAAGGCAGTACTACTACTGCCACAGACCCACCCCACAGTCCTCTCCTTTGGTTACAGCCACCACTGGGGTCAGGAAGTATAGGAACCACCCCTTTGAGGAGGCAGGTATTGGTGGCAGCCACAGCACAATGAGGAAGTTGATGATAAGTAGAATGACTGGCAGATCAGATGGCATGCAGAGGGACATCCAGGGCTGAAGGAGTTCATAGGCAGAGACAGAAGCATTCTGGGCACCAGGCTGTAAGGCACAAGGGGTGACAAATACCACAATGCAGGGGAAGCACCAGATGTGTCTTGAGCAACAGGTGAGCCTAAGAGAAAAGCCCTGCCTTGATAAGGTGCTGTTGCTCATTGGTGGCTTGATTCTAACTAGACCCTTGTTTCTAGGAGAACAGGTGGAGGCCTTGCCTGATCCCACACCATACTCCATCTCTGTTGTGGCCAAGTCCACTGTCACTGTGTCAGTCTGTTTCAACAAGGGACTTTGCTCCTCCTGACTCTCCACCTTTACAAGCATGATGTCCCCTTCCAAGGACTGGCCCCTCCTGAAAACATGCCCAAAGTACTCAAGATGACCTCTCACCAGCCTTGTTTCTAAAGAGCACTCAGGATGCACTTCCTCCAGGACACTTGTTTGTTTAGTAGCCCATGGCATGGTCAGTACTCCACAAGCATCACAGTGCAGAGTCCCAAATGCAGGCAGTACTATGGGACAGCCCCTCCTGAGAAGCTACAGGTGTGTGAGCTTTGTCCAGCCTCAGAGCAGGCAAGGCATGTCGCCAAGGTACCACCTCTCCTGAACTGGGACTCTAGTGTTCCCTAAACACCCAACACCATGTATATGAAATCATACACTCCCATGAAACACTCCCATGAGCTCTCAGCAGTCAGATGAGCTGGGCTGCTCTTGTCCCCACATTTCTGGTAAGGAAATGGACTTTGGTGAATGGAATAATATACCTCAGGGTGCAGGTTTGAAGAAGTGACCCCAAGTCTTATTCAGGGCCACCACTCTAGCGTCCTAGTGGTACTGTTTGAGAAGGGGTAAGAGAGTGGGGTCTCCTGGTTTGTCAGCCCCACATGGATGACTAGAAGGAGCTTCTAGAAGGTTATAACCCTGGGTTGTATTCTCTGTAACCCTGGTTTGTATTCTCTCTCCATACCTATTCAATCTGTATGCTGAGCTGGACTCTAAAGAGGAATAAGACATCAAGATCAGAGGAAGACTCATCCACAACCTGCTTTACAGAGATGACACAACCTTGCTTGCTGAAAAAGGAGGACTTGCAACACTTGGTACAGAAATCAAGGACTACAGCCTTCAATATTAATTCCATCTCAACATCAAGAAAAACAAAGTTCCTCAGCACAGGGCCAATAGGCAACATCATGACAGATAGAGAAAGGATTGAAGTTGTCAAAGATTTCATCTTGTTTGGATCAACAACCAATAACCTTGGATCAGGAGATTGGGAGACAGTACATTTGGTAAGTCTGTCAGGGAATTCTCCAAAATACTGAAGAGCAATGATGTTCACTTGAAGTTTAAGGTGATCATGATTCAGGCCATAGAAACCTTGGTTTTATGAGGTAAGCCTTAGGCAAAATTTCCAAACTACAAAACTACATGCATTAAACCACCAAAGGTGTGATTTATCACAGGAGCAACAGGAAACAGATGAAACACCCAACAGCATGGGTTTTAGGCCCCGGACTTCCTGGACCTGGAGGTCCAATGACGGTTTACTCTCCTATTAGGTAAATAGACCTATGCTCACCACCTATCCTTGCTCAGCCCCCCAATCTGAAGCTAGTTCCGCCTGGGTCTGCAGCCACCCTCGCCTATGCACCCCTTCTCCTTCGCCACCTCCAACCCCGAGCCCCCTTTTCCACTCCCCAGTCCGCCTCACCTAGGCCCCTTGACCCCCCGCTTCGCCTGGGCTCCTGGCCCTGCAACTGTGGTTGGAGATTGTCGCGGCGAGCCCACAGACCACGCCCAGTGCCGGCTGCCAGGGAGCAGCAGAGGCCAGCCGGCCCGGAACGCACTGCGCCTGCGCCGACCCCTGTTGGACGGGAAGTGGGCGTGGCCGGCTCCTGGAGCAGAGCGCAGAGAGCGGGAGCAGCGCAGGTGAGAAAGGGGGTTGGAGAGGGCGAGGGGGCTACCAAGCGGTACCTGGGAGAGCAGGAAGGACGGGGTGCCGGGTGAGAGAACAGGGGTTCTGGGAGGAGGGGACTGGCGGGCGCCAGGGGTCCCAGGCAGGGACAGGGGTTCTGGGCGGGAGCCAGGAGTGTCGGCCGAGAACCGCGGTTGCCGGCCAGAGTTGGGGGCGCTGGGCGGGGAGACATGGTTCCGGGCAGGGAGACGTGCGTTCCGGTGGGAGGACAGGCGGGACCAGGACTTTAAAGGGCCAGGGGCGCTCAGGGTACCGGGGGGGTAGGTATGGGCTGCCCAGTGGAGTGTCTGGGGCCTAGAGGTGCATCCCTGGTGAAGTGGGGAGGCCAGAGATCTCGAGCTGTAGAATTGGGGGGCTGAAGCGCTAAGGATGCCTCACTGGCGAGGGTGTGGCCGAGGTGGATTCAAGAGCAGGATGGGGCTAGGGGCCTGGAGCCTGAACTAGAGAACTTGAAGCCTAGTGCTCCCCAGTATGCCTGGGGGTCGGGCGCATCCAGCTGCCTGGGAGCCCTCTCTCTAGGCTGGGGCCAGGTGTCCTACCTGACAATCATCTTCTCCAGTCTATTCGCTGCCCACAAAGCCCCTCTGACCTGGCCCTCAAGTCTGAGCAAGGCCTGTGTGTTCATTAAATGGAGAGTTTGCAAAGTGCAGGCCCCCACCACAACTGTGTACCCTCCAGTGAGCCCCTAATCTGTGTGACAGAGAAATGGCACCCAACTGGGAGCACCAGGGTGGACCCCTGTGTCTCCTCCCTTGACCCCCTCCTGCTCAATCCCTGGGGTAGGGCTGTTGGTGGACAGAGTTTTCATCAGAACAGAACAGAGCTCTGAGCTAATGGCCAACTGCACCTGACCTCTGCTCACATATCCGCCTATTGTTCGATACCACTCTTCCTGTCTTAGTGGAGGTAGAAGTGACAAAGGGACCTCTCCCAGTGACCAGAGAATTAGCACTGACAGTACTCTGCCCAAGGGAGCTCTGGTGGCCTCATGCTGCCAACCCAAAAGGTTCAAATCTGACAGCTGCTCCTCTCATACGATTTACTATCTCTGAAAACCCTCTGGAAATTCAGCTATGGATGGGTCTGTTCCAACTCTAGTACACAGCAGCAACTACTTGCCCAGATAGACCTGTGCCTCTGTGGACTGGCTAGCAGCCTGCTTGAATTAGCCCATTAACCATGTCTATCACCCACTGTCTCCAGTGTCCTGGCCTCCCTGTGATCTCTTCCAGATTCTTGCTTTTCTTCTGCAAAGGGAGCTCTTGTAGCCTAGTGGTAAGAAGCTGCATTGCCATCCT